CCTGTTATTATTTTTCTTTTTGTTTTGAATAGCCTCGAGATTCTATTCACTAATCGGCCCTCGTTTCGCGTCCGTGGACCAGTCGGGTGCTCCGCTGCTGAGCCGCGTTCGATTGTGGCCTCGGCGGTCACGTCCAGATGGAGGCGGAAGAGTAGAAGCCCGGGCACTGCGCGCTGTCGGTGCACTTCGAAGAACTCCAGGTGGCCAAATCTTCTGAAGACCTCCACTTCGGCATCCCTCGTATCGTGCTTTTTACGTAAAACCACACATAGAAATGCATATTTTCCAAATCAGCGCATATATGAGCGCTATTCAAACCCAAATTTTGTTTTCGAGCGTAGTGTGAAGCCGTTATTCATGTAAAAAACGGCAACCTTGATATTTCCAAACACTATAAGGTTCAACAAAGACAAAGCTGACAAACTGCGAGCGATTGGAGGAAGAGCAGAAGGAGTGAAAAAGACGGTTTTTCTACAGCCCTAAGTGGAATCACGTCTCAGTGCTGCAGGGGTAGGAGGAGGGAGAATTAAAGATGGGGCAAGAAAATGAAAGTGACGTCTATGGTCGAGGACACGGCGACCGCCTTCTACAGAGAGCTGTCCCGTGCCCTGAAGAAACTGAAGAACCACCCTGAAAACCTGGTGTTGCAGTGGGAAAGGAAAAGCAGGTTTTTCTGGGCAGCCGCGGGTAGCTGGAGAACAAATGGAAAACCATGAAGGGCCACTCATGGAATGCTCTTGTTGATTCAGTGGTGGCGAAGGTCGCCAAATCATTATACTTTATACAACGAAGCCTGAAACAAGCGCCGCCATGTTTACAATCAACGGTGTATTTAGCATATTCTCGGTATGCTTGAATACGCTTGTTCAGTATTAGATCCTTTGTCATATTTCTTTAAGTGACAAACATGAAAAATACACAGAATAGGAATTCAAGGTTTGTGCTAAGCCATTACTCAAAAATGATAGCTGTCACAATATGAAAAATGAACTATGATGAGAATTACCATCATCGCGTAGAATTAAACTGCGGTTAAAACTCCTATGTGAACATTTCATGGTAAAACTCGCATTCGAAAATGAATGTACCTAAACAGTCCTGTTCGCGCAATGGTAATTAAGATTTTGTAATGTCGTATCAGATATAATATTTCTGTTATTAATTAGTTTTTGGTAGTTTCATGACAGAATTAAATGACTTATAAAGAGAACAAAGAGTGTTGTGCCGATGAAGGCGTGTTTTCTTTGACATTATAACCCATCTGCTGCAGCGCCTTCAGCTAAAAAGTGCCACGTGCACGCGGCTTTTGTTTTGTTTGTAATTTACTTTTAAGCGTCCCTCTCTAGATGACATAATAAGTTGTAGTTAGACACTAGAACTTCTTGCGTGCCTAATGGAAAGCGTTCTGCCACGGTGATTTTTCAAATGGGTTCGCTACGAGCCACCAAAGCATGATGAGAAGAAGCAAGCTTGAATCCCTTGTCTCTCGTCACGCGTGTAGCCATCGCGAGCCTTTCCCGTTCTCTTCGGTATCAGGGCTGGAGAATCACACGACGCAACCAGAGCAACATGCGTAAGCAAGATCACGTGCTGTCTCACACTTCGGGTGAGGCCCCGCCGATCCAACATGGACGTGCGGCAGACTCGCAGGCTTTCACCTTACGCTTCAGTCTGTGACGCCTGAAAGGCCTCGAAGTGGCACATCTCAAATTTATTTGCAGGTCGGTCGACCCGTGCGGGTTTGCACGTGAGTGATGTATGGGCCGGAGCGACGCACTCATGGAGTAGACACGAACATTTGCTTAAACACAAGCAAGTCTTTGATTAAAACAAGGGCAATGGCTCGGAGACTACGAAAACAACAGAGGAAAACACTAATACGCAAATGAAAAGAACAGCTATAAAACACACTACGCTCTGAAAGAACATTACACGTAGTAGAAGTATTTGCAACGCGGAACGTTATAATGAACAACATGATGAAAATCAAAGAGAGATACAAGTAAATAGTTACGGAATAAAGATCATGCTCGCGCTTCTGAATTTCTACGTGCGTCGCAGCGTGCACAACTACACTTATCGAAAAGCTGGTTCTAATAAAATGACAGTTTAACAAAAGTCACATTAAAAAGTTTCATATGAACCAGGCCAGCTCTTGGTACACGTAGGGGAGTCGACGGGTGCCGCTGAAGATCTCGCCAGCTTTGTAGACGACGACGGCGCCCAGTATTGCAGCCGTCTCACTACGTTGCGCGGGTCACTTCATACTCGCCGCCTACGCGAGCCTTGCGACACCGACGACCACGCTTCTTGCTGGTTGCACGTCAACTGCCGATTTCAAAGCAGCCAAAGCTCTTTCGGGACGTCCCGTCCCTTCTCAAGGTCATTTCTTTTTACTCGAACACATGTCTCTCCTTTCGGTGCAGGGAAGACGCGGCGGCGCCGCTGCTGCGTGCGTCGTTAGTCGCCAGATGTCGTCCTCCCAACACAAAAGCACCTTTCCTTGGACGATATTGCAGTCGTTTGTGACACGCGCGGATCACGCGCCCCCGCCTACGTAAGCATGGACACCAAAAATAGGCATTTATAGGCACTATAAAAACACCATAAAAGCCATTCTTAACCTCTCATTCACGCTCATATATCAAAATGGCACGATATAAACGCAAGGAACCAAATAAGCATTTGCCTATAATCCGGACTCTAATCAATACCTGCGTGGAGATGAAAAAATTACCAGCTGTGAGCAGGAGTCGAACCTAGGTTCGATTCCTGCTTACTGCTGGTAATTTTTTCATCCACTTTTCTATCTTCTTTCTTCTTATTTACATTCCATTGGTTCTAATAACTTCCCCTGTACATTCCTTGGCATTACTGTCTGTTAAATATATATATATATATATATATATATATATATATATATATATATATATATATATATATATATATATATATATATGTGTGTGTGTGTGTGTGTGTGTGTGTGAGTATTCCTGCCCACGGCAAGCTCTTCACGTTTACTATACTGTTTGGTCTAATAATTTGCCCTATACTTTTCTTGGCATTATTGTCCTTTAGATATCATAATATTGTGTCAAACACGAAAAAATGAGGCCTTAGGTGTACACTTCTTTCTCTACCCATCAACGAGGGTCTCGTACAGGCAGACTTGGTGCATTTAGGTTATATTCGAGAGACTGTTGGTCAGCGGCCAGCTAGTAATAAGTTCACGTGCTACGTGACGCCAAACAGGCTCATAAAGAGTGTGCTACACTCACCGCCATGGCTACTGGTGGCGCTGACGGACACTCCCATGTTCAAATTCACATGTGTACCCAATGAAGTGGCGGGGGGATAGCCGCCGTGGTAGCTCAGTGGTAGCTCGAACCACAGGCAGCATATCCACGGAGTGAATGATTTCGTCCGTCCGTCCAATCGTTCATCCGTCCAATCCGTCCATCTGTCCAATCATTCATCCGTTCATCCGTCCAATCATTCGTCCAGCATTCGTCCGTCCAATCGTTCTTGCTTCCGTCTATCCATGCGTCCGTGTGTGTGACCGTCCATGCGTCCATCTGCCCGTCCGTGCGTGCATCTGTTCGTGCGTCCGTCCCTGCGTTCGTCCATGCATCCGTCCTCGCGTCCATTCATGCGTCCATCTATGCATCTGTGTGTGTGTCCGTTCATCCATCTATTCAACACTCCAAGTACCACCATCTCGCATATTTTCATCATATAGTACGCATAAAGAAGCACCGCCATCCAGCGGACACTCCAAGGACTAAACGAGAGCTGGCACACGCACACTTTCTAACGGCTTGCGCTTCGGATCTACTTCCCAACTTTAACCACCTCGAGTTCATGGTATATACTAGTTTTTATTTTTGAGATTTTATTTTTGAGCGTCCACAGTGTGAGAAGGTGGCAGCAGGAGCAGAGTATAGGAGTAAATGACAGGATGACAAGCGACATCTGCCGCGCATGAACAACACTATATCGGCGAATTCAGCACACTTGAACTGTGCCCGAATAAGCTGCAGCACAACGATGAAATTGTGCTGCACCATCCACAGAATGGCCAACGCGCCGGAGTGCGCAAACAGTTTGCGTCAAGTCCGTGTAAAATGAGATTTCATGGGTGCTGCATCTCGACGAGCGACTGATGTACTGCAACGCCGTCGCAGAGAGCAAACAGCTCTGCCAGTAACAATGTAATCGGGATCTCTAACACAAGAGCAAGTCCGGTCGGCAAGTGGGTCAGAAGGGCACTGTAAGGAAGTGTGCAGTATAGATGCTGTCAGCCCGGCATCTGCTTATGCTCTCAGTTCGAGTTTCTGAGATTCGAAAATGAACAGCGAAGCTGGGTACACTGAGATGGATACATCCCAGAGGCTTGCTGGTGGTCGTTTCACAACGCTCCCACGGTGGCACTGACAAAGTATGTTTGTCCAGCGAATGGACCTTAGGGCCCATGTAATGCATTAATGCAGCTGCCACAAAAACACTGGTGTGCTTTATCCTCCTTGCCTTGCGTCTTCGATGAATGAGCTTGTCCAGCGTATTTAGTGTCACTTACCGTTTGGGTGGCAATCAGTGTGCCTGCAAAAAGGTACTAGAGGAATTACAGGAGATTGAAAGCCGGCGTATGAGTTTATTTTCTATCGGCTGCTGGTGATGTGTTCTTCAAGTTTTGTTTCAACTGTGGTACCTCCATGGTACAGTGAACGATTGAATTTGCTTTACTGTCTACTAACCTGACCCATACGAATAATTTCTGCGTCACTTACAATGTGTTTTACCATTTAATTCTAGTTTACTTGTATTGCAAGAGAATGCAACGTCTGAGTACTTGGAACTAGTACATTAAAAGGCAATTGTAAGATATTCACATTTGTACATTACCAGCAGAATATGTAAAAACTGACAGGAATGAAAAAATAGAAAAATATATAAACATGCTCTAGCCTTCAAGATGTTCTAGGCATGAAGAAGGCAAGGGAGAGAGAGAAAACATTTATTTGGTGACCATCGAGTGAATGTGGGAGGGTCCCTCTGACCTGGACTGCGCGACAAGTCCACTTTTGTCAAAATGGCAGCTCAGAAATCCTGTTTAGAGATTTTTACATAGGGAGATTACGCAACGTTTTTTATGAAGCGTACTTTACAGCTCTTTGCGCGTTCTTAGTCGTATTGAATTTACCATTACTATAGTGATTTCGGGAGTCCTGCAACAGCTCGGTTTCCCTTACACGAGGACTGGTTTTGAGGCGTACAACCTGAGCTATTATGACATCAAGCAGTCGTGCAAAAAAAAAAAAATTCTCCAATACCTAAACAAATTAATGGTATTGACCAAGAGCTGCATGAACTTCCTGCACGCTGGTGAAGATTATGCATTGTGATTGAAAAAGGCAACAAGCGCACTGAAGTCGTAGTGGTCGAGGACTTGGAGCAGCGCAGGAACCTTGCTCTTCACATTGATTCCTTTAAATTTGTACACGTCGATGTAGAGGTCGGTGATCATTCCTGCGTGAAAAGGAACGGCGTATATAAATAGCCTCGCATGTTTAGGGAAAAAAAAAGGCTGCGAGATTTTTTTGTGCCTTCAACAGAGTGCCGTGGAAAGCTGTGGCTTGTTGCTATACATAAAGTAGCCCACACTTAGACAGGATTTCCTTTACTCCATCGTTGTGGCCATGGAACGCTTACCCAAAAGTTTGTAGATTTCAGCGGAAACTAAAAGGAAAGGGTCTATTATGCCTGTACGGATATCAAAACTGGGCCGCAAAAATATTTCAGTGAGAAGTGACGGGCTGAAAATCTCACCCACTGCAATAGCGAGTGTAACGTCATGAGCAGCAAGGAGCAAAGTCTTTTCTGCCATAATTTCAGCCCCTGCAAGCCGTTGAATTTCAGTGTCAAGCTGAAAAAAGTCACATTATTTCGAGTTCACGAACGGCTGACCACGGAGCAATATCGTACGCCAAAATGCAAACGCTCGCACAGCTAGCTCCTTGCTCTTTGTAATGTACCCTAGTGTGGACTCTCAGGCTGCTCACGTACTCCAAAATATTTAAATAATAACTTAAGTGCTCAATTAAATTTGCTATGCCAACTTATTTGTGAATGCACAAGAATTCACTCACATTACGCTGATTATAATCGAAGATTACGTGTCATGAAGTGCACCTTATATTCTCCTCAAGCCATAGTAGTAAATATTTATGTCACTTTTACAAGACCGAATAGCCAACGGAAGTCATTTATGCGAGCATACAAGACGAGTACAGAATTGGTACAAAGAGGACACTGAGCCATTAACCGCAACACTTAAGAAGCACAGACAAAAAATAAACGTGAAAAATGTGGCTGATCCTCCAACCTACGAATCAGTATAACAATAAAGTGAAACGTGTCTTCACAGAGGTACTTGAGCATTCTTTCAGCATCAGCAACAAATTTCGCAGTCACGTGAACAATGGCAAGCAGCTCGAAACTTGCAGAACAAACCTCAAGCAAAAAATACGCACGGAATTGAAATACGCAGGATAAGCGTGAACTGACAACTGTCACAGCTCGACACTAAATTTAGCGCACTGTTCAAACACAAGGTCCGACGCATGGAACGAGCGCACAAGCATACACAGAACATGCGCGAACAGCTGTCAGAATTTTCACTTCGACGTGTGTCAGCAGTGCACTTCTTTCGTAGCCGCGGCAGCGAGAGAAGTGACCTTCGTCCTCTCCTGAATTACGAGTCTGATAAGCGCGCGCGCAAGACAGACCACGCTCCCGAGAGGCGACGACTTTTAAGGCGCTCCCAAAGCGAGGCCGTCGCGCCATCTCGCTACTGATAATAAAAACGCGCAAAAAGTTCGAGAGCTCTGTGGAACGCAAAGCAGCGTATGGTTTATGGCTTCTTAGCATTCTCGCGAATGTACGCTCCGTGGCACAGTGGTTAGCACCGCGCGCTGCAAGTCGGGAGGTTTCATGCTCTTGGCCTGGTTTTATTGCAATAGCAATTATATGGACAACTTCGGCTGGATTTTGCCGCCGGCGTCAATATGCATACATATATGAAAACGCAAGGAAGAAAAATTATCCAGAAAAGACTCCTGCGCCCAGATTTGAACGTCCAACCACTTGTTTGTGACTGCGAGGCATTAGCCACTAAGCTACGAAAGAGCACCTCTTTCAACGTTGAAACGGCAAGCTATGTAGATCTTCCGCGAACTGCGAGCGCGTGGTAAAAACGCACACACGAAGCGACGAAGAGGCACACTGCACAAGTGCGTCTTCTTTGCTTCGGTTGTTGGTTGATTTCGTTATGCCACAACATTTACTATAAGCCGATTTTTCTACCTCCCACACGCATAGGTCAAATAACTCACGGCCCTCAGTCCCCAGCAGCTGCGAAGCAACTGACCACGGCGGTGGTCAGATCTGCAATGCAGCATAAGAATCTCTGGATCCGGACAGGCCGCCGTTGGAACCTGAACTTGGCAACGTTTAACGCTAGAACCTTATCTAGTGAGGGAAGTCTAGCTGTACTATTCGAGGAGCTAGTGGGTATTAAATGGGATATAATAGGGCTCAGTGAGGTTAGGAGGACAGATGAGGCCTATACGGTGCTACAGAATGGGCACGTCCTTTTCTATCGGGGCTTGGCTGACAGAAGACAACTGGGAGTGGGGTTCCTAATTCACAGAAACATAGCTGGCAACATAGAGGAATACTATAACAATAATAAAAGGGTGGTAGGTATCGTAATTAAACTGAATAAGAGATACAAGATGAAGGTGGTACCGCGCCTACATCCAGCCATGATGACGCTTCAGTTGAAAGCTTCTGTGAACACGTGGAATCGGCAATGAGTAAGGTAAAAACACAGTATACAATACTGATGGGAGACTTTAATGCAAAGGTAGGGAAAAAGCAGGCTGGAGACCAGGCAGTAGAAGATTATGGAATTGGTACTAGAAATGCCAGAGGGAAGCTATTAGCATAATTCGCAGAACGCAATAATTTACGAATGTCGAATACCTTCTACCGAAAGCGAAGAACCGTAAGCGGACATGGAGGAGCCCTAATGGCGAAAATAAGAACGAAATAGGCTTTATAATGAGCGCACACCCAGGCATCGTGCAGCATGTGGAAGTGGTTGGCAAGGTACGATGCAGTGGCCATAGAATGGTACGGTGTCGAATTCGCCTAGACTTGAGGAAGGAACGACAGAAACTGATACGCAAAAAGCCAATCAATGAGCTAGCGCTGAGAGGGAAACTACAGGAATTCAGAGTCTCACTTCAGAACAGGTACTCGGCTCTTAGTGAGGAAATCAACCTTAGCATAGATACAATGAATGATAATTTGACAAGTCTGTTTACGGAGTGTGCAGTGGAAGTTGGAGGCAGGGTAGTTAGACAGGACACTGACAAGCTTTTCCAGGAAACGAAGAATCTCATTAGGAAGCGTCTAATCATGAAAGTCTCAAGTACAACAGACAAAATAGAACTGGCAGAGTTTTCGAAGTTGATTAATAGGCTTAAGGTATCCGATGTAAGAAGGTATAACACGGAGAGAATTGAATACGCTCTGAAAAACGGAGGAAGCGTCAAAGCAGTGAAGAGGAAACTTGGGGTAGGCAAAAATCGGATGTATGCACTAGGGGACAAAGAAGGCAAAATAACTAGCAATATGTATAGCATAGTTAAAATTGCGGAGGAGTTTTGCAGAGATCTGTACAGTAGCCGGGCCAGCCACGACTTTAATACTACAAGAACTAGCAGTAACCCAGATGACACCCTACCAGTAATCTTAGAAGAAGTCAGAAAAGCTTTGGAGAGCATGCAAAGAGGCAAAGCTGCTGGTGAGGATCAGGTAACATCAGATCTGCTGAAAGATGGAGGACAGATTGTGTTAGAAAAACTAGCCACCCTGTTTACGAGGTGTCTCCTGATGAGAAGAGTACCAGAGCCTTGGAAGAACGCTAACATCATTTTAATACACAAGAAAGGAGATGACAAGGACTTGAAGAATTACAGGCCGATTAGCTTGCTCTCTGTAGTATACAAGCTGTTTACAAAGGTAATTGCTAACAAAGTAAAGAAAACATTAGAATTAAATCAACCAAAGGAACAAGCCGGGTTTTGAACAGACTTCTCATTAATCGACCACATTCATACTATCAATCAGGTAATAGAGAAATGCTCAGAATATAACCAACCACTACACATAGCCTTCATATATTACGAGAAGGCGTTTGATTCAGTAGAAATATTAGCCGTCATGCAGAAACTGCGGAATCAGGGCGTCGATGAAGTATATATAAACATCCTGGAAGAAATCTACAGGGGATCAACTGCTACCATCGTGCTTCATAAAGAAAGCAACAGAATACCAATCAAGAAAGGTGTAAGGCAGGGGGACACAATCTCCCCAATGCTAATTACCGCGTGCTTACAGGAGGTTTTCAGATGCCTGGGATGGGAACAGTTAGGGATAAGAGGTAATGGAGAGTACCTTAGTAACCTGCGCTTCGCCGATGACATTGCATTGCTGAGTAACTCAGGGGACGAATTGCAACTCATGATTATGGAGTTAGACAAGGAGAGCAGAAAGGTGGGTCTTAAAATGAATTTGCAGAAAACGAAAGTAATGTACAACAACCTCGGAAAAGAGCTGCACTTCGAGATAGGTAATAGTGCACTTCAAGTTGTAAAAGACTATGTCTACTTGGGGCAGGTAATAACCGCGGAGCCGAACCACGATATTGAAGTCACTAGAAGAATAAGAATGGGGTGGAGCACATTTGGCAAGCACTCTCAAATTATGACAGGTAGATTGCCACTATGCCTCAAGAGGAAGGTATATAACAGGTGCATCTTGCCGGTACTTAGCTACGGAGCAGAAACCTGGAGACTTACAAAGAGGGTTCAACTTGAATTGAGGACAACACAGTGAGCGATGGAAAGGAAAGTGGTTGGTGCAACCTTAAGAGACAAGAAGGGAACAGAGTGGATCAGGGAACAAACTGGGGTTAAGGATATCATAGCTGAAATCAAGAAGAAGAAATGGACATGGGCCGGGCATGTAGCGCGTAGACAGGATAGCCGCTGGTCGTTAAGGGTAACTAACTGGATTCCCATAGAAGGCAAGCGGGTTAGGGGGAGACAGAAGGTTAGGTGGGCAGATGAGATTAAGAAGTTTGCGGGTATAAATTGGCAGCAGCAAGCAGAGGACCAGGTTAACTGGCGGAACCTGGGAGAGGACTTTGTCCTGCAGTGGACGTAGTCAGGCTGATGATGATGATGATGATTTTTCTATTGCTCAAAAGTAGGATGAGTTCTTCGCATAAGCTTTAATTCTTTATGACGTTGACGCTACCTGAGCGCATTGAACGTAAAAGTTTAATATCATAACTAATATGGTACGAGTGCCACAGCATACATAATTTTTTTTCATTTTTGATGACTTTAAATACATTTATTGAAATACCCAGCAGAGATGCAGACATTGTCGAGTGG